AAAAGAAAGAGACGCCGAAATTTGCTGTTTTTAATAAAGGATACATTCGCATCGTTAAGGTAATTGGGGACCTAATTAACCTAATGGCTAATTAATGCCTTAATTACTAAGAAATGACATGGAATGCAGACCGTGTCTTAAAATACATTTTTTTAAAAATCTTATAAGAAAAAAGTGTGAGGTGGAAAATGGGCGTGGGTGCGAAAAATGTAAAAAGTTTATTTTGACATTTTGATGCGAATAATTACATTACATTGTAAAATAAAACCACCTTACGGGCTTGTCGAAACTTTAGTAGCAAAATGGCTTCCCCTGCATGCCTGCCGTACATTGCTTCAATCTCCAGGGAAGCTAGGAAATTTTTCAGCGATATGCACCTCAGATCCATCAAGTACATGGTAATTTTTTTTAGGCCGTCGACTGTTGGATGGTGACGATTTTGTTGATAGAATTTTCTTTACGCATGGAATCAGAGGAACTGTTCATTAAACACACTTGATAACATGTATTTGGAGAACTGATTGAAAAACAAACACAAAATGTATATATTTATACAATACATCAGTTCTACGAGTTAAAAAAAAATAATAATAAAATCGCCCCACAAATGAAAATTGAAAAAAAAAAAAAAATCCTTATCCTCATAATTGTAAACCTGTTTTTAAAATTCGTTAGAAAAATATTTGTAAAGCAATTTAAACCAATTATTAATTAGAGGTCATATTGAATTGTAACTTAGGAAAACGCAAATTTCTTCAATTTTGATTGTTCCTTAAGGCTGCAAAATTACCGCTACGCTGACCAGATTCGTTTCTAAAAAATTAATTGGTTAATATTGTAATTTTCGGGTGTTTGGAGTAATAATTTGTTGATATTACGTTATAATTTGAATTTTACGGTTATTCCCAAAAACAAATAATTTCAAATGGGTTTGTTCAAAACTTCATGAGTTACGGGAGTTTTCAAGACTTCTCAGATTTTTTGTTTCTGAACTGCAAGTTTAAAGTGATATTTATTGTATCTTCGGTACTTTCATCAAAATCTTGATACCCGGGCTAAAAATTGGCACAGAGACATAAACGAGGTGCCACTGGACAGATATTTTTTATCTGTATCCAGCTCCGCTTGTTTTTTATAAGTGATATAAAGTGTAATAAGTTAACATATTCAAGCAGTAATGTGGATAAAGATGAAGAAACCACGAGACATGCACATATAGTATGCATATTGTAAACACACACACGCCCGCGCGCGTAAACAAAACGCATGGTTATCAAATGGCACTTTACTGTTAAAAATAAACGTATAGTTATATTGTTCCTCTCACTCGCTAAGCAAATAAAACTTGACCTATACAGAATAAAGCCATGCGGGTAATTCTGGGATGTACAATAGATACCTCGGTAGTATGTATGGGATATATACTTCAACTACCTACTTTTGCAAATAGGCTCAACATTCTGAAGGCGAAGTCATATCTCAGAGTAGCTGCAGACAAGAAGCACCTCGTGCATGAAGCCCTGGGTAGAGCTAAGGGTCCCAGACTGCAAAGAGGAAGGTCTTGAATGGCACAAGCTGAAGACGCAATCAGACATGTGTGCAGCCTTGAAAATTTTGAGCGGGGAGAAGAATGGGTCAAGGTGTCTGAACAAGTTGTGTAGGGTTCTAATCACGTTAGGTCGTGAGTGCAGAGACTGGCCAGCTGTTGCTGCAGAATCAGAAGTTCAACAAATGATTCATGACAATTCCCAGCCAAGTGATGTAATTATCTATACAGATGACTCTGTGTTAAGGGCAGACGAAGTGCATGGGGTTTCATAGCAAAGGCGAATGGACGTTGCCTAGTGTAGCAAAGCCTTACGTATGATATCACAACGTTTAGTTTGAGAATGAATGGAGGTGAAGGCAGTCTCTGCAGCCTTCCGCTGGATTGAGAATCATCTGTACCCACATGTCGTTATTGTAACTGATTCACAGAGCATGTTCAGAAAAATGAAAAAAAGACATGATTCGTGCAGAGTAGCAAGCATCACATCAGAGGTCCCGGATAGTTGGCATCCTTTAGATATTTTCTCCACCCAATGCCAAAGTTTCGGAAAATGAGCAGGCAGATAGACTGGCTGGCTCTGAACCACTTGGTGGTGAATCAATGTATGACAAGTTAGGTAATTTGGGAGCCCTTTAGGATCAAGTAAACAGTGCGGAGCCACAGATAGATCATTACGGTCTAAGGAGGTTGGCGCAGCGAGCAGTGAACAGGGGATCTGGCCGAGGCTCAACACTCAGGTAAACAATGGGACGGGTATACAATCAGACGATTACTGGAACTTTGGAATTGGAACTTTCGCTTGCTGCTGAAGATGGGAACTGAGCGCTAATTGGAGTTACCGAGTGATGTGATGTCGATTGCTATTTCAACATTCAACTCGCTAAGCGTTTTTTGTTTGTTTTTAAAAGTGAAGCGTTATTGAATAACTAAGCGTTTCTGTTTTTCTCTTCATTTTTAACTGTGTGTGTGCGTCTTTAATATTTATGCAAATATATATATATATATACACACATAAGATTTTTTTTCGGGATGGTAAACCTCCAGGTAATGCACTTCCCCATCCCCCCTTTCCAAAGAGAACACATGGATCAATTAACTTACTGCTGATGAATATTTCCTGTGTATTCGTGGAGCTGCTTCTTCTTCGATTCTTCTGTGAAAACCTTATATAAAGAGGCCGTTAGCCATTGTGGAATTTATCGTACTGTCCCGTCTCCCCGTGAACCATACAGATCTGTCTTTACTGTGGTTAGAACAGGCCAGATTGCGTTTCTGTTGGCAGCATACAGTTGACGACGCTGGGACACACTTTCATCATTTGCTGGTGACAAGCTGCAGGGACACTCTCCGTGTTTCATCTTCTTTTGTCAAAATCTGCTTGTGCCGCTAGGCGTCGCAGTCTATCAGATGATCGGCAACCGAGCCAGGGCGCGCTCAGTCGCTTCATATGCCGTGATGTTATGAAGTCTCAAGTTGTCCGTGACTCCTTCAATCCATATTCTTCTTGGTCTTCCCCTGCCTCTTGTTGTTTCGATTTTCATGTTGTATGCTCTTGATTCTGGCATCGTTGGTTCCATTCTCATTAGGTGACCAAACCATTTCATTCTTTGCTTCTCAATAAATTTAACGATGGGTATGGTTCCAATAGTTCTTGTAATCACATCGTTTCTCACTCGATCTCTTCTGGTTTTATTCGCAGCCATTCTCAAACATCTCATTTCACAGGTGGTTAGTCTTCTCTCATGTTCTTTTGTTAATGTCCAAGTCTGACATTGATAACCTAATGTCGGTATAAAGATTGTATTTATAATTTGTCTTTTTATCTCAGCTGGGACACCAGTGTGTTTTAAAATTGGGGCAAGCTGGTATGCGACATTGTTGGCTTGTTGGATTCTTGCTTCAATCTCTCTGTCTATTTTACCATTGGATGTAAAGATACTTCCCAGGTATTTAAATTCTTGCACTTGTTTTAGGCTGTGATCTAGAATCTTTATGTCGATGGTCTGTTGCTCTCTACTTATGCTCATGACTTCTGTCTTTTCAGTATTGATCTTCATATGATGCTTGAGGCAACTGTCGTGTAGTAGGTTCATGTGGTCTTGCAGCTGTTTACTATCACTGTGAAATATGCTGTCTTTACTGTGGTTAGTAGAACAGGCCAGATTGCGTTTCTGTTGGCGGCATACAGTTGACGACGCTGGGACACACCGTGTTTCATTAACCCACAATTTTGACCATGTATTGGCGAAATCGGTTGTGACCTGTCCTTAGTCTGAGAGTCCTTCTCCAGACAGGCGATGAAGCCAGTGTTAGGGAGAAAATTTAGCTTGTGTATCCAGCCAAATTTATTAAGCACTAGATTGCGTTAATGATCTAGTATCTTAGGGGGGTCAAGTCCAGCAGCTGCGATAGAAGAGGCTACATGCTCGCCTACAGACCTGAAGATCTTGGGTTCGTGACCGCATACTAAAAGTAAAGGACTTTTTCTACTTCTGAAGGTGTTTATGCATGTAGATGGATGGTATGGTCAACATCTCGTCACCTGCCTTTACTTCCCATTAATTTACCTTCTACCCATTTAAGGCTGGTCAGACCAGGGCGCCAGTGTCATAAAAAAAAAAAATACCACGCCGACATAACCTGAACCCACGACTTTGAATTCGCAGGCAAGCGTTTAGCCGCTACACCTCGCCAGCTCCAGCATAGAGCAAGATTTTTTTTCTGAGAATATACGATCACACAGGTCCACTCACCCTAGTGGGTTAACTATACAGTGTCACGGGAAGTCACGGCACCCGGCGTGATGCTGACAACACCAGAAGTCGAGTGATTGTTGGTCTATATTATTATGATTGCAGCGTGTTATGCTGGGAGCAGCCGTGGTGTAGCGGCTAGCGTTCTAACGGCCTTTGTGGTTTCATAATGGTCTTGGCTCCCAGCTCGAGTAAACAGCAGCTATGATCCTGGCTAGGATCAAGGCGGCTGATGTGATGCTGAACACATCCCCCACCTAGTGCCGATTTGTCTACACAACGTAATTCTAGTCTTTTGGCTGGGATAAGGATCTTGTACATCAAATGCTCGGTCCTTACCGGCATAGGACTTTAACTTGCCCCTGGCTGGTGTCGCCGTTACCTGTACCCTAATTATAACTTTTCTAGAGCTTGAACGGGATACCTGAGATCTGCCTTGTTGATCTGCCGTCTGGATGGAGATTTTTTAATTCTGTGGTGGTATGTCATCATCTGGAGTGTGTGTGTGTGTGTGTGTGTGTGTGTGTGTGTGTGGATTGGGGGAACAGGGTTAGGGCAGGTTGATCCTGCTTGCCATGCATGACTTTCTGGAAGATAGTCCAAAACATGTTAATCTTTTTTTCTCCTAAAATGGTTCCATGTTGGTGATTGTCAAGTTTACTGATTAAAATCTATTGTGCTCCCAGTTTGTGATCTGTATGCTGACAGTCTTCAGCGGCGTGGGTGTCATTGGCAATGCCATCGTCTTCTACATCTTCTGTGGTCGTCGGTCTACATCCACCTCCGTCGTCTTCATTCTGGCTTTGGCAGGTAAGTCAAGTGAACGTCACACTGTCCCGCTCATAAATCCCACACATAGTAAATTAAACTTAATTCTTCCATGTCTTAATGTGCACATCAAACGAACGGTAAAATAGACGTCTAAATGTTGACAGTGGGTGAACGGTAAATTAGACTAAAATGGCCTCCTGTCCTAATGTGGACATCACATTCACTGTACATTACACGAAATTGTTCCCGTCTTAATGAGGACTAGTGAACGGTGAAGTAGACGAAACTGTTTCACATGAGTTATGTAGTTATGTGGAGAGGACTGACTGCACGGTACCAGGCTGTATCAAACCTGGCTTGGACTCTGTCCGCAGAACGACTAGTCACCTGCCGAAGCGGTCGCACAAAACATGAATTTTGTAGCTCCGGTGACAATCCCTTGGGATCTCTCTAAAAATACGCTACTAAACAGAACGACGCAGTGTGAAATGCACCCACGCTTTTAGAATCGAGATAAAGACAACTATAGAAATCAGATGCGCAGTAAATCAGACGTAATTGTTATCGTCCTCATTTATCTACCTCATAAGAGAAAAAGTCGGCACAGAACCAATTCTCAATTACATACAAAGACAGCAAGTGAAATGGTTTGCCCACTTAGAGAGAATGCCTTATAACACCATACCATACAAAGCATACATGGAAAGAGAAGAAGGTCGTAGAGCAAAAGGTAGACCAAGAACAATATGGAAAGATAACATCAGAGAAGCTCTACAACAGCACGATGCGCCTATGGTCGAGGCGGCCAGAAGAGCCAGAAACAGAACCTTATATCTCCCTCGACACCCACAGCGGTAAAAGAGGCAGTGAAGAAGAAGAAGTTATCGTCCTTCTCCTGACTTCACATGTACTATAAACTAGATGAAATTGGTTACATGTCCTACTTTTTATACATCAGTTATACTGTAAATTAGTAAATTAGACGAAATTATCTTCCAGTTCCATTCTAGACGTGCTGTGCACAGTAAATTAGTCGAAAATAAACCCTGTCTCATTATAGAAACCGTATACAAATTTAAAAAAAAAGTGTCTTCCTGTGCCGGTCTAGACATCTGATGCACAGCAAAGCTAGAGCAAATTGTCACAATCTGGGAATCAGATACAATGTAAATTAGACTAAATGATACCTTTGTCCCACCAAGGATATCAGGTTTTAAATAAAATTGCACTGTCCATAGTTTTACTGCGCATCATACGACACAGTTATTAAACATACAATGTAATCCTAGCTAGCATACCACAGAAATTGCTTACGCATGATTGGTTACGGTCATCCTCATCAGGTGCATTGCCGACTTCCGTGGGCGATCATGCCTCTTTATAATCTGCGATCTCCTGCAGCATGTATCAGCTCGTGGGCCGACACATATCAATGCCATGCAAAATTACTGTCAAGCATCTTCTCTTGTTGTCTTCCTCTATCCCTCCTTCCACAGATCTTTCCATTGGTCACAACATGTTCTATTTTCCCTCTTCTCATAACATGGCCGAAATATGATTACTGTTTCCTTCTGATGTCTGTGGTAAGTTGTCTTCGTGCTCCTGCCTCTTTCAAAACCTTTTGGTTACTCTTTTTGGCTGCCCAAGGTATTCTAAGCACTCTTCTGTAAAATCACTTCTCTGAGGCCTCCATAAATTGTTTAGCCTGCCTACCGATTGTCCAGGATTCACAGCCATATGTTAAAACTGGATGTATGTAGCAAGCAATAATTCTTTTTCTAACTCTCAATGACAAAGATATATTGCACGAGATGTTCTTCATTCTATAAAAAGCAGTTTTTGCCTGTCCTATTCTGTTTCTAATCTCAGTTATGCATCTTCCATCTGATGCTTTCCGTGTGCCCAGCTACTTAAATTTCCGTACTTGCCCCAAAATAACACCATCGACTTGAATTACACATTTAGGAATAATTCGTTTCCTTTATACCACCATTACTTCTGTCTTTCCATTTTTCAAACTGAGGCCCATTCTTCCGCTTTCTAACACCACAATGTCTATAATTTCCTGTAGTTTTTTTTTTTCAACTTGTTGCTATTAAGACTGTGTCATCAGCATAACGCAAATTCTTTATATTGTGGCCACCAACCACAATTCTGGGCATATCAATATAAGATCTCATTATACATTCCTTGTATAGTGAAAACAAATCAGGTGACAGTACACATCCTTGTAGTACGCTCCTCTTTATGCTTTGAAATGTAACTAAACAGTTAATTATTCTTTTAGCTGCTGTTTGCTCCAATACATATTCTTTAGTATTCGTAGATCTTTTCCATCAATGTTTAATGTTCCTAACATTTTGATTACTTCTTCGTGCTTCACACAGTCAAGTGTTTTTGTATAGTCTATGAAGCAGAAGTACAAATCAGTCTTTACTTCTATTGCTCCTTCTGACACTGTACTTAGGATGTAAATGGCATTGTTTATACCTTTTCCTTCTACAAATCCACACTGTTCATCGCTGATTTATAGTTTAATTTAGTTTCTTATTCTTCTCATAATTATTATCAGTAAAATCATAGTCATTTGACTCATAAGACTTATTGTGCGACGGTCTTAACATTTCAAAGTGCCTGTTTTTTTTTTGGGCAGAGCTATAAAAATGGATTTTAAAAGGTCATTTGGAATATACCCACTATTATAAATATCATTTAAAAGTTTAGCTATTTTTTCGATTCCAAAATCGTTATTATTTCAATTCCAAAATCTCCCAGTGCTTCGATTTCTTCCAGTGCTTTTCCTTTCTTCATATGATGTAATGCTTCCTCAATTTGTGTAGTCATTTATGGTCTATTATCATCATACAATTCCTCTCTATTACTATATTATTATATGGTTACCGTATCTTTCCGTAAATTGATGTAAAATAGGAAGTAATGTTTGTTTTAAATTTATTTACCTATTTTTAAATAGGTATTATGCACATTTAGAAAATCGGTTATGACCTGGATTTATCTCAGTCCACAAATTTTAAGGGAGAAAAAATCCTAATACTTAAATATTGTGAACACAAACAATTTATTGTCTTGCATGTGTCGCTGTATTACGTCAGGTACATTGCTACAGTAAATTAAAATATAATGAAACATAGACATTTAACAACGAAAGAAACTGCAGTTCCGAAGCTGCAAGTATTTTTCCAGCTAACATTTTGAGTGGACTATGTCCTGCAACTTCTGCAGGACCAACTAATCATAGCTTTTTTGCAGCTGTAATAAATATTAGATTCAAGACCCCTTCCATCCCCACCAAACCTGTCAAAGAACCGTCATCTATCTACGCAAACTCTAATTCATTTATCAATGTATATATGGGTGTCAGTTGACTTAAATCAGTCGAACGAAAAGAAAGCTTAAAATGTATAAAAGGTAAAGGTAAAGTTGGGAGAACTGAGCCAGCGTCATTGCACACAGTTGTAAACCATAAGTGCTCTGCCACCAGAACGAACAGCTGATAGGAAATTGTCCGCCCGTGTCGCCGTCCGCACAAAACATCGTAGCTACAGCGACGTTCCTCCATTTAGCCCAGACCAGAGTGTTAACTTTGGTACCCATTCCCTAAAGGCTGGGGAAACCCCGAGCACCGCCCGGTTTCTAACACCGGTCATGGGCTGCAGCGAGTCGCAGCCGGATTTAAAAGTGAGTCTCCTATCTACTGCGCTAACGCGACCCCCAGACAGCTTTAAAACAGAGTGCAGAACATATCGCTAAATTGATCCACGTACAGCTGAGTGGAAATCTTGCATTAAAATCAGCCAAGAAAAGAGAGCACAGTTCTTTGATGGGACTTAATTTTATTCACTCTGAACACGTAGTTGATTGACATGTTTGAAACTGACCGAAGTCATATCAATAAACGTGACCTCTTCTCTGTTATGTAAAAAAAAAAAAAAAGCACATGATACATGTGAAGAGAATGCAGTTTATATATTTCAGCGAACAGGATTTAATTTTTTTGCTTCCTTATTTGTTGATCAAACTCTGTAGTAATGCACCTGACGAGATAAAGTTAAATATGCCCTGCAACAGATTGTTTATGGTTACATCACTCCATGCCCGTGTGTCACCGGGGCCCTCAAGGGAAGCAAAGAATAGTGACAGTGCACCCTACCAGGCATATCGTAAGAGGCGACTAAGGGTAGGGTTGGGCTTGAGGTTGGCTACCTCATCCTGTAAAAACCATAGCCACAAAAACCAACCAACCATGGATAAGTCAAAAAAGAGAAGCATGTAAAACCCAGCCAACCAAAATGAAGGAAGACTCTTCAAATAGAAGAGGTAGTATGACACGGTGTGGAGAAAGCCGTAAGGAGTCCGTATCGTTGACGTACCTCCTCTCAGCTAGGAAAACCTCCAGAATTGGCACCTGGAATGTTAGAACTCTCTATGATATAGGGAAAACAATGGAAGTAGCAAGGGAAATGAAACATTATAGAATTAGTATTTTTTGGTTATGTGAAACTAGATTGACTGGAGCGGAGAAAAGTATTCTAAATTCAGGGGAAACTATTTTGTTCTCAGGACACACAGAAAAAAATTCTCCCCACGGAGAAGGAGTGGCCCTGATGCTATCGAAATAAGCAGACAGGCGCTAATAGAATGGGAAGCTGTGGGTCCTAGAATAATAAGAGCATCTTTTAGAACAGTGAAACAGAAGGTGAACATGTCGGTAATACAGTGTTATGCACCAACAAATTTTAAAGATGCATCTGTTAAGGAAAAGTTTTACATGCAGCATCAAAATATTAAAAATAAGGACAGAAAGGACAATTTAAAAATTTTGATGAGTGACCTGAATGCTAAGATAGGATCAGATAACACAGGTTATGAAGAAATTATGGGGAGACATGGTCTAGGAATAATGAAAGAAAATGGAGAATTATTAACAAATTTGTGTGCAGGAAACCAGTATGTTATTGGTGGAAGTATTTTTTCCCCATACAAAAATACACAATGCAACATGGGAATCACCAGACCATAAGACAACTAATCAAGTTGATCAACTATGTATTAACAAAAAGTTTATATCATCCCTTTACGATGTTAGGGCTTTCAGAGGTGCCGATGTATTTACTGACCACTTCCTGGTGGTAAGTAAAATCATGTTAAAATTAAAAAGATATATAACATCTTATAATCATGGAAAACAATATAATGTAGGTTATCTCAGGGATAAAGAAATTAAGGAACAGTTTTCAGTTACAGTCTCTAATAAGTACCAGGTGTTGCAGCAGTTAGCTGCTGATGTCAGCACAGAAGTCAAAAAGACAGATGGGTTGAATATTTTAAAAGGCTTCTAAATAGACTAGGTCCAGGGGTTCCCCCAGATATCCAGCCTTTAGAAATGGAACTGGAGATACCATCCAAAGAGGAAATTAGTAAAGCCATCAGTCTTCTCAAGGAAGGAAAGGCGGCAGGCCCAGATGGTATCCCAGCTGAAGTCATCAGGGCCAACATAAACACATCAACAGAATTGCTACATAGGTTATTCAGTAAAGTCTGGGAGACCGAAGAAATACCAGCAGACTGGAGAGACGGATATCTTGTGAAACTGCCCAAAAAGGGGATCTTCAAGAGTGTGAAAACTATAGAGGAATTATGTTGCTGTCAGTTCCTGGTAAAATATTAGGTAGAATTATTTTGGAAAGATTAAAAGATGCTATTGATAAAAAGCTAAGTGATGAACAGACAGGTTTTCGTTCAGATCCTGTACTGACCAGTTGGCCACATTACGTATTATAATAGAGCAAAGCATTGAACTGAACTCAACTCTTTACATTGGATTTATAGACTATGAAAATGCATTTGACAGCATTGGTGGGGAATCTCTCTGGAAATTGATGGGCACTATGTAATCCGACAGAAAATTATTAACTTAGTAAAGGCAACATATAAAGACATGAAATGTCGAGTTCTTCATGAGGTAAAGCTAACAGATACATGTGAAATAAAAACAAGTGTGCGACAGGGATGTCTGTTGTTGCCTCTCTTATTTTTACTAGCTATAGACTGGATTGTGAAAACAGTAACTGCTAACACCAATAATGGAATTCAGTGGACCCCTACAGAACAGCTTGATGATCTGGACTTCGCTGATGATATTTCTCTTCAGTCCGATTCGCGGAATCAGATGCAAGAAAAATTAAATATACTTGATGGGAGAACATAGCAGCTTGGTCTGAAAATCCATAAAATAAAGACAAAGATTATGAGAATAAATCAGGTAAATAGTAGTATGGTTTCTGTTAATGGCTCCCCACTCCAAGACATGGAGTCGTACACCTATTTAGGCAGTAATGTAGATAAAGATGGAGGAACTGATAGAGATATTAAAATAAGAATACAAAAGCCAAGAGGAGCTTTCATAGTACTGGGGATTTGTGGAGGTCAAGAGAAATTAAAAGACATACTAAACTAAAAATTGTTAATTCTAATGTCAAATCAGTACTTTTATATGGGGCGGAAACATGGAGAATAACTAAGGCAATTACTGATACATTACAGACATAAATTAACTGGTGCCTGCACAGAATAGAGGGAATTAAAAAGTATGATAGAATAACTAACGTAGAGCTTTGGGAGAGAACTAAATAGGCTCCAGTGGATCAAGAGGTGAGGAAAAGACGCCTGCGTTTGATATGACACACACTGAGAAAACAGGAGAACAGCATAACAAGAATGTCTTTGCACTGGAACCCACAGGGGCATAGGAATAAAGGAAGGCCAAAAACACATGGAGAAGATAGCTAGAGAATGAAGTTAGAAAGATGGAGAGGACATGGGAAGAGTTCCATGCAATGGCGAAGGATAGAACGACTTGGCGTGAGTTGTTTGCGGGCCTATGCTCCATTGGGGGATAAAAAGGCAGAAGAAGACATTACTCTAACTTACAACCAGAAAAACATTGTTTTCAATTGTTAAACTGTAACCTTTAGGATTATTTCGACTGTGATTGTAGCTACAAAATACACCTCTAGTGACCAGGTCCACACTCGGCGTGCTCCAATCAGCTAAAGCTTGTGCTCCAATCGGCTAAAGCTTGTGCTCCAATCGGCTGTGGCTTGTGCTCCAATCGGCTGTGGCTTGTGCTCCAATCGGCTATAGCTTGTGCTCCAATCGGCTAAAGCTTGTGCTCCAATCGGCTATAGCTTGTGCTCCAATCGGCTAAAGCTTGTGCTCCAATCGGCTGTGGCTTGTGCTCCAATCGGCTATAGCTTGTGCTCCAATCGGCTAAAGCTTGTGCTCCAATCGGTTATAGCTTGTGCTCCAATCGGCTAAAGCTTGTGCTCCAATCGGCTGTGGCTTGTGCTCCAATCGGCTAAAGCTTCTGCTCCAAATCGGCTAAAGCTTGTGCTCCAATCGGCTATAGCTTGTGCTCCAATCAGCTAAAGCTTGTGCTCTAATTGGCTATAGCTTGTGCTCCAATCGGCTAAAGCGTGTGCTCAAATCGGCTGTGGCTTGTGCTCCAATCGGTTAAAGCTTGTGCTCCAATCGGCTGTGGCTTGTGCTCCAATCGGCTAAAGCTTGTGCTCCACTGAGAGATAAATAGAGCAAATAAAGAAAAAGGGGAAGGAGGGGAACAGAAACAGAAAAAGAAGAAGAAGAAAAGTAGAAAAAGAAGACACGTTAGCGATGATCTGCTATATACTTTTCAAGTTAGATGAAAAATAAAAAAGACACACGAACACAACACAACACACGTCTTTCACTCATACACAAACACCACTAATTAGCAACCACAGTTGGCAACCCCGCCCCCGGCCCCCTTTTGTCCTCCACCCCTCTCTATCTCTCTCCCCTCCCCAACAAACACGCGCGAACACAGATTGCCATGACAACATTAGCATGCAAACAATGAGGTAACCTAGCAACATAAACCGTTTCCTGTGACAACTAACGACTAGTACTTTTTTTCCGGAACGCCATCTAAAATTATTTTCTGCCCAGTAATTGCACGGTGTCATATTTTCTTTTACCCTTAGAAAGAATTGCACCGGTGAAATGTCATTTATTACTGTCTGGGTAACTTCCTAGCCAACGGATGCTCTCATTTTGAACCAACTAGTAGTCTTCCATTTCACTTCAGCTTTCGCCTCTGAATGCAATCCCCTGAGCTTGTTTACGGCCACATACTGTCTGACTTTTTTCTGTGAAGATATTTCTCATGTCGTTCGGATTGACAGCATAATTTGTAAACTATTATAGACTACTGCAGGAAAACTGGAGGAGGAGAAATTGCGATGTCAAAGCTTGCAGTTAAAAGAAGCTATTTTCCATAGCTAATTTTGTTCCTCAATAATATGTTTAGTCTATTTATTTGAATTATGAGGTTACAAAAATATTATGCACATTCTGTCCTGTAATATACACACTCTTCGCAATAAGGTACTGGCCTGTGCACCCACTCCTGTCTTGAGAAATATTGTGCTTTGAGGTCTCAGCCTCTTCTTAGGTAAGACTCTCGTACCAATGGTCCCCTCGCCTCAACAACCATGTATTGTTTTGGGGGGACTCAGCAGAGAAAAGGAAATTCCGAATTGCCGAGGCGATGAAATGTGCTCATTATCCTCCAGCCACAGAGCAGCAGAGTGGTTTAGGAAGGACAGCAACGGAAGGCGTTGCTCTTAATGTTTTCTTAGTTTCATGGTTATGTGAAATTATTCCTACTAATTAGCACTCACGAGATTAGGATAAACTTGTGAGGTTAACCCAGACATTGTTCGGGCAACTGAGCGTTCTGGCCTCTGTGACGCTCTGTTAACAAAAGTGTATAGATGGCAAATGCAACAGTAGGGACATGCAACAAAATATTTGAGCGTTTCCAAAACAAAACTACAGGTTTCTTAGATGGGAAAAAGAGAAGAGGCAGACCAAGAAACCTTCATACAGACGTTGGCTGAATGGGCGGACCTAAAGCATCACATATTAAATCCACTGCCCCTGGCCCCAGAGGTGGCGTGGGCTCATCAAGCAGCAGTAGTGGGTAATCCAATGATGCACGGTGTTATGGGACCATACGATGATTCAGCCCAGAGAAACGTGTAGGAACATCGCCGTGTCGTACTATGATACAGAGAGGCGACCGCATCACATAGCACAATAAAGCGAACGACATAAGCAGCGAAATCAAAATTCAATTTAAACTTGTGATCTGACAGCACGAACCTAACAGGGATGAAGACCTGCATCATACTAAGAACATCTGTCGCACAGGACAGCGTAGAAATGTCTCAAGAAATATTTGATTTCATATTTGGTTTATTCATTTAGTCATTTATGTATTAATTTCATACTAACTCTTTCATCAGCTTACTGTCTATTTCAGTGCCACATCTTAAATATAAGAGTTGAAATTCACTGTAAATTTATATTCGTTTATGATCCTCTCATTCTGTACAGGTGTGGACTTCTTCGCCTGTCTGGTGGCGATCCCTTACACGATCGTCTTTGAACATGTGAGATACAACCTGGTCTACGACGGGGCCTGCAAGCTGTACATGTTTCTCATTACCTCAATCCAACCCTTCTCTGCTTACATCATGATGGGCATCGCCCTCGACAGGTACTTCTGCATCTGCCACCCGTTTCTATACGTTTTCACAGTTCCACGAGCTAAAGCTGTGGTCCTCTGCATGGCCATCCCAGCGTTGATCTTCGGTGTGATCACAGCTCTGAGCCACGGGATGTACATTTACGAAGTCAGTATCCTGAACGAGAACAACACTAGAATTGTGCTCAATCAGTTTATTGATAAAGAAGAAGCTGAGGCGTTTGTGGCGTTAAGGAATATCTCCAGCGAACATCCTCTCATCAGATTCATCCACTATCATCAGTGCGTCAACAATACCTATATTTTCAGCCGAGAGTTTCTCAACATTTACAAAAAATTCCACGCCATGAATTTTGTCCTGGCCTACATAGTCGTGGCCGTACTTTACATCCTAATCTACAAGTCCATTTTCACACGAAGGGTGAAGAAAGCTAAGCGGAAGAAAAGCAATCTGTACCCGACATCAAGCAATAAGACAAGGGATAACACTGCGGAAGAAACGCAGATGACAGCAATCAACGGATGTAGCAGCAGCAATACCAAGTCCTTGAATAACCAGACCAGAAAAGATGCTAAATATGCTCGGAAAATTACCCTGACGGCAAGAAATGACCCTTCAGTCTGTGGCCAGTCCGAAGCAGTGACCAAATCTCTAAGCGGACTTTCTGGAACTGGGCTTTTGTCACAAGAAAGTACGCTGATTTATCCCAAACAAATTGATCTGTTGAGCAATGGGAATTTGAACCAGTCATTACCTTGCTTGTACCAATCAAACAAAGCGAAGAGATGTGCTGGAACTGAAACTAAAAACACTATTTACCGTGGCCCTGTTTCGCCAGAAAAAGACACCGTTTATGTTGGTCCAGTGAGCTATAAAGATGACACTGTCTATATTGGTCCAGAGGTAGATTTAAACAGCACTGTTTACATGGGACCGATGCAACATGAAGAGGACAGTCTTCGCGCAGGCAATCAAACGTGCTGTGAGGACAAGACCGGTCCCGAGGTGTGCCAAGAGATAGACACCGTTTACACTGGACCAGACGTGAGGCACGAAAAAGACATATTCACCAGAGATCTTATGAACTGTCAAGATAATGACATTGTTTATACAGGCCCACAACTATGTGAAAAGAATGACGCTGGTTATACCGGTCCAAAAATATTTCAAGTTAAAGACAATGTTTTCTCTGGTCCACAAGTTTTTCATGAGAAAGACGCTGTTTACACAGGGCCAGAAGCATATCTCGAAAACGACAGTATTTATGCAGGCCCACAAGCAAGTAAGGAGAAAGACAATGTTTACACAGGTCCACAGGCATGCCCAGAGAAAGACACTGCTTACTCAGCTCTGCAAACGTATACAGACGGAAACGGCGTCTACATAGGACCAGAATCATACAAAGAAGACACAAGCACCCATAATCTTCCCACTGCAGACAACACAGTGAGCATTGCTGTCCTCGAGTGTCAGGATAAGCCAGCTACTGGCAGTCAACACACCGATCCATGGAGCGGTCGGGATGAAAAGGTTCTTCACTGTGAACCAGACACTAGCATAGACTCGAACCCTGTTTCTACATCTTTGATTTCCAGGGGTAATGGAAAGAAGGTGCTGATCAGATCGGCATCAGATACCAAAGAGAAAAGTCCAAACAAAAGAAGGGAACCTTTGAAACGGCTGGACGATTTTTCTTATAGACCTGAGGCAGAAGCAGTTAATGCTGGCCAATCAAAGAACGAATTTCATAACATATTTGACAATACCCAGAAGAACTACCAAGATAAATATGAGGGTAATTACAATGGGGACGACGATACAAACAACCATGGATTCTGCTCAGAAGGAGGCCTCCCTGAGGAGAAGCCACTGTTGGAAAGTAAGCTACATAGTCCAGAACGTTCACGAGATTGCCACAATACTAAATCTCCTAAGCTACCACCTGTATCGCCACACAGCCACACCCCTGAAGAAGAGCAAGGAAAAACACAATCTTCTTTAAAACAGACGACGATAACGGACACACAAACAGGCAGTTTAAAAAGGAAACGCCCTGGCACGTTTAAGGATCGCAATTTAATGGCAAACATTAAGACAGCATTTATGTTATTCATCGTCACGCTTGTATTCATTATTGCCTACCTACCTGCCCTGCTTATGGCGAATGAGCTGGTTCCGTTCAAGCTCATTGGTTTTTACGTCTACTTTGTCTACAATGTGGCAAATCCTTTCATTTACGCTTTCATGAACCAGACATTCCGAGAAGATCTGAAGAAGATGATGAAGGTCTGTAAAAGATAAAAGGTTTTACCCCTCATTGATTGCTTATCTTCCTACAGACCGGAGGTAACCATTATCATTATCGTCATCTTCATCATCATCTCCCTAATCATCATCATCATCAGCATCATGAGGTACCGTTTATACGTCACACATGCCTTGTAGTCGGATTCCTAATTTCCATTCTACCGAATTATTATCGCTAAATGTTTTTGCTCATCGGTTTAAATGAACCAGTGAGGGACAGACATTTGATTTTTCACTGACGCCTGAATGGAGCAAACTTGGGGGAACCCGATTGCGGAGAAGCGAAAATCTCGACTAATTAATAATTAGCGCTGGATTCAGTTCATCATCGCATACTTTATTGATCAACCTTTATATTAGGAAATCTCTCATACGTCATCACTTGCTCAACCCGTCACCCAAACAAAACTGTAAACTGAACACAGATACGTCATTTGTACACATAATTTAATTTTTACAAATATGAAGAAATACAACTGGGTAGGTTTTGTTTCTTCCATAATCGCCTTTTCCACGTGATTTAGTAATATTTTTTTCACAGCCTTTCACATCTACCGTCACTTATTTTGTAAAACAGATGATCTGACATGCTATAATGCAACGCTATCTAAAATATTCCCCATCATTCTTCCTATGTCTCACTTCCCTTCCAACATTCCTTTCTCATCACAAAACACATGACCACGCAAAATAGAACTCCCGTAGTACTTGCGATGTTCCTAAATAACTCTAGGTAGATTTTTAACTTAAAATTTTGCTCCGGCAGCGCCATTACACTACTCTTTTCGATTTCCAACTGCAACAGTTTTTTTTGTTTTAAATTTTCCACAACAATACACACGGGCAACCGATCCAACTACCCAGATACCAGATAAAGTTACAGGATGTCCAAGTGAAGAAATCCCAGCCTTCCTTTACGACTTGCACCCAGGACGTCCAGCATCGGTGGGTGATGTGGTCAGCATCACGGTCAGCAACGGGGTCTGCATCTGGGACCTATAGCATCGGTGGGTAATGTGGTCAGCATCACGGTCAGCAACGGGGTCTGCACCTGGGACATCCAGCATCGGTGGGTGATGTGGTCAGCATCACGGTCAGCAACGGGGTCTGCACCTGGGACATCCAGCATCGGTGGGTGATGTGGTCAGCATCACGGTCAGCAACGGGGTCTGCACCTGGGACATCCAGCATCAGTGGGTGATGTGGTCAGCATCACGGTCAGCAACGGGGTCTGCACCTGGGACATCCAACATCAGTGGGTGATGTGGTCAGCATCACGGTCAGCAACGGGGTCTGCACCTGGGACATCCAGCATCAGTGGGTGATGTGGTGTGGTCAGCATCATGTGGTCAGGTCAGCAACGGGGTCTGCACCTGGGACATCCAGCATCAGTGGGTGATGTGGTCAGCATCATGGTCAGCAACGGGGTCTGCACCTGGGACATCCAGCATCAGTGGGTGATGTGGTCAGCATCACGGTCAGCATCACGGTCAGCAACGGGGTCTACACCTGGGACATCCAGCATCAGTGGGTGATGTTGTCAGCATCACGGTCAGTAACGGGGTCTGCACCTGGGACGTCTAGCATCGGTGGGTGATGTGGTCAGCATCACGGTCAGCAACGGGGTCTGCACCTGGGACATCCAGCATCAGTGGGTGATGTGGTCAGCATCACGGTCAGCAACGGGGTCTGCACCTGGGACATCCAGCATCAGTGGGTGATGTGGTCAGCATCACGGTCAGTAACGGGGTCTGCACCTGGGACGTCTAGCATCGGTGGGTGATGTGGTCAGCATCACGGTCAGCAACGGGGTCTGCACCTGGGACATCCAGCATCAGTGGGTGATGTGGTCAGCATCACGGTCAGCAACGGTGTCTGCACCTGGGACATCTAGCATCGGTGGGTAATGTGGTCAGCATCACGCTGGTCGCCTTCAGTTCCCAGCATTATACCAGGCACCCACTCACCTGGATGCTAGTGTTCACTTGTGAAAATGTCCGGCATTGTCAGGACCTGAACCCAAGACCTTCGAATTCGCAGGCGAGTGTTTAGAGTCTGGACCACAGCGACTCCTTTTACAGATCGAGCGGCAAATAGCTGTATGTGAAGTAATAACTCCTTTGGAACTGTCTGCAGGGCGAATTCACACTCGTGCCATTGGCATATTGTTTACTGACAACTGTCACTACTGTCAGTCTGTACCCCATTGTGAGGGCGAAGTAGACACGGGGTCGTGGGCCTAAAGATATAGGGCGACATGGCTAGCGCTTTCGCCACGGACTTAAGGGTATAATGACTAAATAGTGCACGTGAGGGAGAATAGTCAAAACTTGACAGTGATGACCTAGGCGTTAACCCTCCCCCCCCCCCCCCCCCCCCCCCCTTAAAAAAAACCCGCTGTGGTTGGTTCTGCAACGTCCTGTAATAGATACATGCTAGCCTATGCCCCCTCCCCTCTCCCCACTTACTCCAGCAAAGTAAATTTGAAAAGCCTGTGGGTGGGAGGGGGGGGGGGGTGGGGGGTGGCCAGGTCAAGTAATGTATTTCTATCTTCTTTTACCCCACCAGGACATCACACAAGCGATAAACACCCGATGACACAAATTGCCACCATGTGGATGTGGATCACCCGTGGAGAGGTCCCAGAAACCGCATCCAGCCATTAGACCATATTAATGGCCGGGCTATATTGAGGCCCCTGGCAAGAGCCAGCGTAGGGCTTCAGTTAATGAAACATTGCATCCCACAAAGGGATGACAAGATATTATCAAGTAATGTGAAACTTAAGTGCATTTATACGTGTTTGATTATAGGGGGTGATCTGGAGGGATGATTTTCATTTTGCCATGTCTAACATCAGAACAAAAACAGATGCCATCATCAAGACAACCCAGTATCAATCATCTGAATGACACCTGAACAGTAAATTACCAAGTGATTGTTTCTTTATTGTTATGCGACACTTTCTTTTAAGCGAAGTTACTTTGAAGTTACAGTTAATAGTGTTTGGTATATGTCTTTGTGTCCTCATTTGAATCACACTTTTTGTAAACATTGGATGGAAGGCGGGCGTGGAGGTTCTTAGAGGACAGCCGATGCCATCTGGGGAAAAGTAATGTTAAAAACCTCGGGTTTACAAACGTAAGGTTTTAGCATCAGAAGCTCTGTTGAGCAGTGGCGCAAAAAACGTCTTGTACATGTTTGTTTAATATCAGGGGAAGCTGCGAGAGCCGGTCAGATAGAACACCACTGCTCTTCTGTTGGAGCGGATTGCGCAGCATGTTTTTTCCTAAAGTATAGATGTCACCATGTCACCAATCAATTTGAGTTAACGAGGCTAGAACAAGGCAGGCCGAGTAAGGGGGGTCGTGCTGTATGGGCAGCACATGGATTAGACAATGCTGCTTAGGCTTTGAACGTTGGAGACGATCAAAGTCTTTCTAGGTGGCACTTGTTATCGCTATGATCTGTTATTTCCATGTCTCTTTGTAACACAAAATACTTTTCTTGTAATGAAAATAAAATTCCGAACATCAGCTAGAGATATGAATGAATTTATATGTAAGTTGTCGTTGTAGAAAAAACAGACGACAAAGAAGGTCCTGGATTACACGCTCAATATAGAAATCTCTATGTCCAAAAAAAAAACAAATTCATTGTATCGATGTTATTAAAGTGCAAGGTCAAAAGAGAAAAAGCCAAAAAAGAGTAGCGGACAGGCGTGGTGGAGGGGTGGAAGAAGGTTTATGATGAAAGTGGAAGAAAAGGGAAAAGCCCTAATGAGGAAAGATTGTGATAAAGACAAAGAAGCAGAAATTTTTTTTTTTTTTTTTTTTTTTCAAATTTGAAAAAAAAAACGCAGCAGCAGCTTCAGCAACAGCAGTAGCAGCAGCAGAACAAGAAAAAGAAGAAGAAGAAGAAAAGCAGAAGAAGAAGAAGAAGAAGCAGAAGAAGAAGAAGAAGAAGAAGAAGAAGAAGAAGAAGAAGAAGAAGAAGAAGAAGAAGAAGAAGAAGAAGAAGAAGAAGAAGAAGAAGAAGCAGAAGAAGAAGAAGAAGAAGAAGAAGAAGAAGAAGAAGAAGAAGAAGAAGAAGAAGAAGAAGAAGAAGAAGAAGAAGAAGAAGAAGAAGAAGAAGAAGAAGAAGAAGAAGAAGAAGAAGAAGAAGAAGAAGAAGAAGAAGGAGGAGGGACAAAAAGACGCAGCAGTAGCGTCAGCATTAGCAACAGCAGCATCAGCAACAGCAGCATCAGCAACAGCAACAGCAACAGCAGCAGCAGCAATAGCAGCATAAGAAGAAGAAAAAGAGGAAGAAGAAGAAGAAGAAAATGAACACGAGAGTTGAGCAACTCCCCCTTCCTGCATTCCTCCTGTGTTTTCTGTATATTGATTGCCCTGGAAGATGTAAATATCCCTTTGAAATAATTTATATGTATATATTTGCTCCCATTACATAAGGCATAAACCTACCTACGTATGCTAACTTCAGCTTCTGTTACTGCCAGCCAACAGCATTGTCCATGTAATCATGCATTGTTGTATTTTGTCTGTGGTAATGTATTTATCTGTCTGTTGACAATAAATGTGATTATTGATTCAAAGAAATCATTATAACGTTTATTTTTAAATTGTATGTTGATATGTTGCTTGGAGGCTTGTGAGATGATTTCACAATGCATATTTCCAACGTTTACCAGGGTTCTATGAGATTCGCTCGGTGCCAGAGCATTTGGAACACAATGAAGGATTTCATTGTTTCGGATATTATTCGACTATAATATATTTATTCAATAGTGGCAACAGAGAAAGGCTTCCATTTGTTCAGTATTGAGACTGGTGCAGTTCTGTTGTTTGTTTCATTTCGAAATAATATTGAGAGCAATAGAGAATAATCATCGTCATGCAGTAAGTCCTTTTGAAGAATGTCGCCCAAACGACGGTCTGCCTGAACAAAATTCGGCCTCTCGACAGCTCTCCCGTCTAGTTCCCGGAACATAT